TAAGGTTACCTAACTAATAACTTTATAGTTTTTATTAAGAATATTAGTCTTTATATAAATAATATTTTTAAATTTCTCTTTAGTTAAAGATTAGTTAAAATTATTATTTATATATATAGTAGTGTTTATAGTGTTATCTTTTTACTAAGAATCCTATAGAGATTACTTTTCTATTACTTTCTTAGTTAAAGTAGTAGTTTTTAGATATACCTTTAGCCTAGGCGTAAATTCTAGTATTAAAAGTTATCCTTTAAGAAGCTTACTTTATATAGTAGTTTTAGTAATAGGATTAGCTAGTTTTATTTTTTTTAGGCTAACTAGTACTTTTATAAGGTCTTTTATTAAGAGATCTATTAGGTTTTATATACCTAAGGCTCTAAGAACTAAGTTTAAGCTTATAAGTAGTATCTTTAGTTTAATAATCTCTCTTATAACTTATTATTTAATTACTAACTTAAAGCTTATAGGTAAATAGAATTTTATTTTATTAAATATTATATTTTTAGTAATATATACTTAATAAAGGATAAGAACCTAAATCTTATATAGGTTATATATATTTAGTATATATTTTACTAAGTACTTAATATACTTTTAAAGAACTACTTTAAAAAGTCTTTTCTTAATCTCTTTTTCTTTTCTCTTTAGAGGGTATATATAATATTTATATATATAAAGTTAACCTTAGTGTTATTATAAATCCTTTATTAGACTTAATATATAAGAAAGTATATACTATCTAAAATATTAATAATACTAAGCTTTTTTTACTTTAACTAAAGATTTTTAATTATTATATTTTTATAGGCTAATACTAATTATATAGGCTACTACTATAATAGCTTTAGACTATAAATTAGTTAGTAAGTTAGCTATACTTATTACTTTAATTACTTAAGTAATAACTTCCTAGCTTACTTACTTACTTCTTTTTACTAGTTCTTTAGTATAAGGTAAAGAAAGCTTTATATTAATACTAAGTTCCTAAGTCTAAAGTTTATAAGTAGTATAGCCTTAGATTATAATTATAGTATATTTAATATCTTATTTAATTTTATAGATTACTAGCCTTTTTTACTTTTATATTTACTTTTTAAATAAATAAAGTACTTTAAAAACCTTATATAAGGTCTTTTATACTTAAGGAAACATAAATAAATAGCTTAAATATTTATCCTTAATAACTAGTATTTCATAGGCTTTATTAAAGCTTACTAAGTAGTTAAAAAGGTCTTATAAGATATAGTAGTAAGGTTATATTAACTTTACTTTTAATATTTATCTAGATATAACTTATAAGGTATATATTATTATATAATATTTATATTCTAAGTATAAAGGTACTTAAATTTTAACTTCTTTTATATTTAAAACTAGCTACTAAAGTATGTCTAGTCTTAAATACCTTAAACAAAGGTGCTAAGTGTTTATATTATTTATCTTATTACCTTGTATATTATAAGACAGTTTTAGGCGTTAACCTCTTGATTTTAGGGTAAAGAATACACTTATAAGGCTATAAAGGATAAGTAAAAAAGAGTATAAGGAATAGATATTATATTAGAGGATATAATAATAAAAGTAGATTTATAATTACTACTATATAATTATAGCTTATATTATAATATACCTCTCTAGGTTTATAATATATTTATTATTAAAACGCTAGTAATATAGAACACTTTTACTAATTACCTTCTAATTAGGTATATCTTACTAAAGTATAAGTAGTATTTTTAACTGCCTTAAACAGTACTTAAACCTAGGCCCTTAGGATTATAGAGGTCTTTAATTATATATATATATATATACTATTAAAGTATATAGAGGTCTAGAGTAAAGTAGGCTTATAACTATAATAATAAAAGTAGATCTATAATTACTACTATATAATTATAGCTTATATTATAATAGAGAAAAACTAGGTTAAACTTTTATATAAGGTAGATAACTACTTTACTTTTTTTAATAAAACCCCTTTAGAGAGTATAGTTATAACTATAGTACTAAACGTTTACTTTTTATAGATATACCTCTAAGACAACGTTTATATAGAAGTTCTTAATATAATAGACATTAGTTAATACTAGGTTAACTATATTAGGCCTTTTTAGTCCTAATAAGATCCTTTTAAGAATACACTTTTTTTTTAATAACTAAAAACAAAGATAATCTTAATTTAATATATTTATTTATCTTAGGATCCTTAAGTAAATCTAGCTTAAGGAGACTAAGATTATTTACTAGGTAAATAGTACTATAATTATTAAAGACTATATACTTAGAAAGTGTATATAGACTATTATAGCTATAAGTAAAGACCTTATATAATATAGTTTTTACTTAAAGTTTTTTCTTAATTAGTAATAGGTTAATTAATATATAGACTACTAAGTTTCTAGCTCCTTAAGTAAATATTAAATTATTTTTATCCTTAGCTTTATTCTTCTTAAGTAGAAATTATTTCTTATTTAAACCTTTATTTAGTAGCTTTATTTAATCTTTATTAATAAGTATATATTATACTAACTACTATTTATCTTCCTTAAGTTTTTCCTTAATCCTTATTAACTTTTCTTAGGTTTATTTAAGGTTTATTTAGTATAAAATACCTTATATTACTATTTTAACTTATAGATAGTTAGCTAGGTTATATATTATAAGGATACTATATAGATATTTCTTTATGTTTAGTAAATTATTTTTAGAGTTCTTGTTTAAGTAGTCTAAAAGTGTTATATAGACCCTTAATACTTTTCTTTTTTCTTTAGTTAAGGTTTTTTTATAGTAAAGTATAATAAAAATTACTTTATAATTACTTAGTAAAAGATTCTTTTTATTAGTTATTTTATTTTTTATAATATAATTTATTACTTTTTTTCTTTATATAAGAGCTAAGTAGTTTAAAATAGCTCTAAGAAAGGATTTTATAGTAAAATTCCTTTAGACCTCTAGAATATTATACTATTTTCTTTAAAGATAGTATTTTTACTATTTAGTGTACTATAAAGTAAAATTAATATTTATATTTACTTTTATAAGTACTATAAGATACTCTTTATAAACTAAAGTAAGTATAGTAAAGTTATTTAAAGTATAGTGTTATTTAAGAACTTTAATTAAAGCCTAAAGTAATATATTCTTTTAGTTTAAAACTTTATTATTAGTTACTTTATTAAGACTCTCTATATAAGCTAGGCTAAGTAGTACTAAGTTAACTATAGATTAAACCTAAGCCTTAATCTTTTTATATACTTATTTCTTATTAAAGAATCTATTAATATTCTTTTTATATAGTTTTTATTAAATAAAGTATAATAATATTTATAGTTTTAATTATAGCCTATTAAGATAATAGCTTATCTTTATTATATTTTACTAGCTAGTTATTAAATAACTAGTATTCTAGCTTATCTTTAAGGTTCTTTTAAGAATTACTATCTAGGTTAATATAGTCTTATAAATTCTTACTATAAGTATAATATTTAAGTATAATATACTACTTAGGCTAATTATATATAGTAACTAGCTTAATTAACTTATTAAAGTCTATTAACTTCTTAGTTTTAGTTATAGTAACTTTATAAATTAAGATTAATTAAAAAATAAATTTAAAATAAGAGAGTAAAAGATATAAACATTAAATTTAATTATAATATCTAGGGGTTTTTTTATATAAAAGCTAGGCTTATAACTATAATAAACTATAGTGTCTTATTATATAAGAGAAAAGTAGTTAACCTATTAAGAAACTATATATAAACTAGAGAAGTAGTAGAAATACCTTTTCTATATAGTCTATATAGGTAGTATACTATATCCTGTGGCAGTGCTACTAGCACTAGCTATATAAAGTTATTCTAGCTTTATAATACTATTATAATTATTATATAAATTAGTTTATTATAGTAACCTTATCTCTACTATATCTAACACTACTAAAATATAGAAAGGCTATTAGTTAAATTATTTATTTTATATAATTATATAAAGCCTAGTTTACTATTATTATTTATATATATTATATATAGCTTTATAGAAAGTATATTAAGGATAGCTTAAAACTAGAACAGTAGGTATAAGTCTTGTTTTCTTGTTGTTTAACCTAATTCTTGTATTATAATTCTACTATATACCTTAAAGATATAGGAATATTAATACTTTTAGGTATATAAATACTTGCTAGTAGAGGTATACTAATTTAGTATACTAATAGTGTATTCCTCTAGGATACAAGAGTATAACTATTTATAGAGGTGTTAACAGAAAGCCTAAACGTAAAGGATTCTAATGTTTCTGCCCTAATTTAGGAAGCGTAAGCAGAGGATTCTGTCTTCTTTAATAACGCTTTCCTATCTAGAGGTAATATACTAGTAGCCTTAAACTTTAAGGTAGATATAGAAGAAGACAGAGATTATACGTTTAGCGCTTCTTCTGAACTGGCAAGCCAGTCTTCTCTATTACCTCAGGAATGCACCTCGACAAGAAAACGGACTTCCGACACGGGGGCATTCGTATCGGCACACGCCCCTCTCAGTTCATTGTCGGCCTCGCAACCAATTGGGGCTCCTCACGTCAAGCCCACCCTGCTGCGTAGTCACTATGACTTTGTCAAGGCCATGTCAAGCTTAAAGCCACTGGCTTTTACATATCCCTCTTATCCTGGAATTTCCGCCACAGATCCAGGTCTTTGTCTAGATTATTTAGATAATATCCTTCCTCTTCCAAAAGTAGGTTTGTTGGATCAAGACTTGCGGAGCTTGGTAGCACGACATCGATTTCAGCCCGCGTATCTATGAGGCTTATAAGAGTTACACACGGCTCCGCTGCGTCGGCTTTTGTTAGACATCCCTCGACGAAAAAGTTGATTTCTCTGACAACAGGATTGTAAAGTTTAAGCCTGGTAAAAACATTGGAGACTATTGATTTGTTTTCATTTTGAGGGACACATTCGTATTCGAGAAATTCTGAGATCGGACAGGGGGCTGTGTGTGCCCATCCTGGAATATGGATTTCATATTGGACAAGTAACTTTTAGGCTCTGGTCCATGCCGCGCTGAATGCTGACCCTAGATATCCCGATAATACAGTACCCATCAACTTCAAACTTGCACATGAACTCTGATCTTCGTATCGTGAGCGACGGCCTTTATTCTTAATAAACCAGCATGTTTACCTTCGGGAGTTCAAACCACCGTACGGCTACGAAAACCTTCTGCAAGGTCTTCAGACGCAAAAGGCTTGCCGCATTTATCGCACGCCACAAGTGATCCATCTCAGTAATTTGTCTTGAATGCCATCCCAAGAAAACACCAAATGTTTAAACGAAATCAATACGCATGGAGACATCGAAAGGCTGATCCAGTCTGCTGTAGAAGCTGTCTGGGATTGCCCACCTCCACGATCCTGCCGTTGTCCATCACCACAACAACATCATAGTCCTCGATGGTGTCGAGCCTGTGCGCCACGGCCAGGATGGTATGGCTTGAAAGCTCTTTTTTGATCACCTCTTGAAGCAACTTATCGGTCTTATAGTCGACACTGCTAGTTGCTTCGTCCAATAGAACAACCCCACTCTGATCTTTGTGCAATATGGCGCGGGCTAGAGCAAACAGCTGCTGTTGGCCGTGGGAAAGACCCATCTCAGCGAAGCTAGCGTCCAGACCGCCCCGAGACTTGATTACATCGTCCCACAGGAAGGTTTTCTTCAACGCCTCTAGCAGTGCTTCGCCGCCGGATTGCCCATAGAAAGATCCGTTAGGATCAAGGTTCATTCGAACGGTCCCAGGTAGAGTCACTGGGTCTTGGGGGAGCGTGATGAAATGCGGTCGGATTGCCTTGCGCGACAGCGAGCAGAGATCAATGTCGTCAATTTGAATGGATCCTGTCGGCGTATCCAGAAGACGGAGCAACGTGAGAAGGAAGCAAGTCTTGCCGCTACATCATCCAATGTGAGAAAATGTTTCAAGGCAGGTATTTGTTAGGAGATGACTAACCTTCCTGTGCGTCCACATAAGCCAACCTTCTGGCCAGGTTTGATGTTCAAGGAAACCTCGTGAAGCACAGTTTCATCATCGGCCCTTTGCCACAGTTAGCACCAAATCTATTCCGCGAAAGCTACAGGATAGGGGAAATACTTGTATCTAGCATCTATACTCTTGAGGTTGATTGCACCTAAAGATGGCCATCCTTGAGGAACTGGGGGTAAATTCTGAGCATTGGCACCGTCTTCATGAGGAGTATCACGGACGAAGTCACGCAACCGAGCGATTGCGCCAAGAGACGTCTCCAGATTTGTCCAAGAACTGATCAGCCTCGACAAGCTAGAGTTAAGACCCATCAGGCTGACCATGGATAGACCTATGGCACCGCTGCTTGTTGTGTTGGTGGATTTGACAGCAAACGTAACCTGCGAATGGTTAGTGTGTCTTGAAAACAAGAGAACAGAAGCAGCACTCTAACCAGAATGGTTGCAATCACCGCGACAAACAAGTCTAACATAACCGTCAACCATCGTTGAATACAGAACAGCAAGTAGTAAGGTCTTTGAGAAACGTTAAGTAGGCGAAGTTGCTCTTCGACGAAACTCTGCTGCCATCCAAAGGCACGAATAGTCACAAGACCGTTAAGAGTCTCCGTAAAATGGGTGTAGAGCGGGGACTTAGACTCGAGATCAAGATGTCGCATCTGCCGAGAAGTCTTGAGATAGAATTTCTGCAGGAAATACAAGGGCAAGACACAAAAAGGAATGATGGCTGCGAAGTACTGCGCTCCCGAAGCGATGAGTGCTGTGGAAGCGATAGCAACCAGAGTATCGAGCACAACCTCAAAAAAGGCCGTAGGTAGAGTCTGATCGACAAGCGTCATGTCCTGGCTGAAGCGGTTGAGGGTGACGCCACTGTCCACTGTTGTAAAGAACCACAGAGGAGCATTGAGAACAGAGTCCAGAAGTTTCTGGTGCAGCCTTGCAGCTGATCGAGGGATGACGACGACGAAGAAGAGCCCAATGGCCAGTCCCGAGAACAGGACGGTTCCAAGGCAGAATGATAGATATGCGCCGAAGTAAGCGCCGCGGCTTCCATTATTGGTTCCGCGCTCGGTCCAAATTCTCAGCCAGATGTTTGGCATGAAGCCTAGAAAGATGTATGTGGCCGCGGCAAGAACAAATGTGACGGTTAGGGTCGGGCCAATTGATCGAAGGTAAAATTTGTAGAGCGAGAAGTCACCCGATTGTCTCTGAGTAGTATCTTCTTCCTTGGTTTCTGATGTCTCACACATCGGTGCCTTGGTCGCCACATTCGTGTCTTCGTCCACTTGAACGCTGTCTTCCGGGAGGTCTTCCACGTCAACGTCCTTGAAGACCGTGACAAGATTGACCGAAGGTCCTGTTTGTTCCACAGACCCCGTCTTACTGAGAAGGATGACGTTGTCGGCGATTGACTTTCGTGGACCTGGTGGAATCATGTCAGTATGTCCATGCGCTGTCTATTATGGCGCCTATTGGCGACGGGAAACAGGCAAGAAGACTCACCGGCAGGGGTGGTATGGATGACAGTTGTATCGCCTTCCTGCAGAAGACCCTTCCCGCCAAGTACGCGGTTGAACACTTTCGTTCGTGTCTCAGCATCGAGAGCGCTGAAAGGATCGTCTAGCAGAACGATGGACTTTCTGGCGTACACGGCTCTCGCAAGCGCCTGGATGATACGATATCAGTAATCACAAGCATCCTTCTGGGACTCGACTTTCCTTACAACTCTCTGCTTCTGCCCACCACTAAGTGTAATACCGCCGCTACCAACAAGCGTGTCGTCTCTCTTTGGCAATCTAGAAATATCTTGGTTAAGGTCGCAAGCGAAAACGACACGCCTGTACCATTCGTCATCAAAGGGCTCTTGGCCAACGATATTTTCCTTGATGGAGATATTCCGTAGCCAAGCAGATTGTTCACAGAAAGCAACTGACATACTTGGTTCTGCAAACCGGATATTGCCACTTGTCAGGGGCATCTCTCCAAGAATGGCCTTCAGAAAGCTTGACTTTCCACATCCCACGACGCCAGTGACCTCTGTGTATTTGGCTCTTGGAAGTGACAGTGTGATATTTCTGAGAATCGGCTCTTCTTTGCCCTCGACCCCAACAGTTACGTTTTCAAGACTAATAGCAAGACCAGACCTCTGTGAAGGCTGCTGAGAACTCATCGCCTTCATATTTATGGCGCGATGTGTTGAGGCCGTATCCGGCGAGATATCGGGGATGGATACCGTGATCATGGAATTCCTTTTTGAAACGGCTTGAATGCCTTGGACATGTTCGGGCTTGTGCTCGTCTTGTACGAGAAACTCTTGTATGCGACCAAAACAGGCGACAGAAGACACAAAAGCCGGGTAAGAGCCAATTAGGTTAGCCAAGGGGGTAGAAACCAAGGCCACAATGGCAAGAGATGTGAAGGCTTGAGATATGGTAAAGCCATCAGCTCTGGTCCAGAATACTGCAGCCGTCACGACGACGGCTGGGGTCATCTGGTCTGAGAGATTGGCTATTGGAAGCGTCAGATGCAAATGAACGGTGACGTTTGTGAACACAGGGACTTACAGATAAGAATGATTCGCACGATGAACATCCTGAACTTCTTCGACATATCAAGCTCTGCAATTCTGAGTTGCTGCACCATGGTGGCAAGATAGTCAATGAGGCCCATCATCTTGATACCCTTGATTTGGGCAAGCATTGAAGAGGTAGTGGAAACGCGTTCCTCAACACCTTTATTCCACATCATCCTTGCAGAACCAATGCCATCGGTGGCCCTTTCTGTAATGAAAGTGCAAACTGATTCCGTCATTTTACAGTCCAAGTCGAGATGGTAAAGAGAAAAGGGATGAAAACCACTTACGGACGGCTGGTATCACAACGACAAAACACGCTGCCCCAATTTGCAGATTTAGTAGATGAACGGCAACGCCCAGCTCAAGAACGCTAGCCCATATTTCATGCAGATCTTTGACCCCACTAGCGATTGAGTCAATATCGGTGCTCATGAGAGTAACAGCCTTCCCTTGACTAGCAGTTGCAGCGTCTAGCCTAAGAGACTTTCTAAAGATCAGGGAAACCAGCCCGCCTCGGATTGAAGTCGTGAGCTGGTACACCGCATGGTTGTAAATGCCTTTGGAGATCTAAGAAATTAGCACATCACTCGTCGCGATGGGAGAAGGAGGGAAGGATCACTGACTGCTAATCCCAGATAAACAAGCAAAGCAGCGCCAATAAGTCCCCCTGCAACCTCGCGAGACTGCGCGTCGCTGGGCTCCCCAACAAACTCAATGATCCTTTTAATCAGAAAAGGTTGGGAAAAGTTGAAAGCTGCCACACACAATCGCGGAAAGATTGGGGCCAGGTAACCAGTTCTGAAAGCGGATAGCGTGGCTCTGAGCAAGGCATGTTCGGCAGATTTGTCCCTGCTATCCCAGGACGAGCTGAGCATAGACAGTAGCCGAGCGGAGTCAAATTTGTGATCGATGTTACCGAGATCATCAACATTCAACATGCTCCTAGAACCTTGAAGGAACAAAGGGTTTAGCCAGCCGAATACAGATCTACTGATTGGTCCACTGATCTCTTCCTTTGATGAAGACTCCGGTCCACCAGGCTTTGGTATTTCTTCCAGAAAAACAAGAAGAAGCTTCATGGCCAGGGACACTACAAACACAACGCCAATCTTCCCAGTTGAGTTGGGCTGCTGCCGAAAGAGCGATCTCGCTTGGGCTATATCAACCAAAGATGTTATGAACAAATAAATACTGAGGAGCTTGGATGGCCTAGTTGAGCGTGCATGCTCTACGTAGATCAAGCTGATAAGGAGTATCGAGTTGACCAGGGCTAGAATGGCCGCTGCTAATGATGCTGGAGTCTTGAGTGTGGTCGGAAGTGCCCATAGTGCCAAGAGAGTTGCTTGGAGGGAGAGGTGGATCGTACTAGTAGCCTAGAGGGAGATTTTTAGATTTGATTCTGCAACTCATTCATCGCTGCGTAACGTACAAGCTTTGCCAAGAGAAGCCATCCGCTGGACGGGATCGAACGTCTTCGCAACAGCCATGTGACCCGGCATGGAAGGATTGCCAAGAAGATTGCGGACGGAACAATGGAAAAAATTGCCTGTTTGAAATAAAGCGTGAAGTCGAATTGTCCTGTCAACTGTGGCCCGAAGGCATCAAAATCAACCGACGCATTCATTGCAGCACGGTTGTTGATGTTGACGAGCAGAGCACAGCACGGCACAGTAGTCAAGAATGGACGCAGGGGAAAACAAAATGAAAGAGAAAGACTAAATAAATGTTTAACTGTTTTGTAAGTTGTTGTTGTTGTTGTTGTTTTATTTAACGCTAGGCTATTCCTGTATAGGACAAAGGGCGCCTGGGGTTACAGGCTTCTAGCTATATACAGTAAAACTAATAATAGTCCCTCTCTGCTATAATTAGTATATTTAAGTGTTATTATCTAGTGCCTTTACCTATGTTTTAGGTGTTCTTAACTTAAATTATTCCTTGCTATTAAGTGCCTATAGCTTTTTAGCTACTAGGATCTATATAGTAACCCCTAGTTAACTTATATTATATAAGTTAGCTAAGGGTTTCTATATACTTAGTTATATAGTACTACTTATATATTTATATTATTCTTAGGTTACTAGTTACTACTAAAATAAGTAAAAGTACCCTAGGTATAGTATAAAGAAGTTAAGAATAAAAGAGAAGTAAGTAAGTATATAGTTATTATATTTTTATTATAATAGAGGAGGTTATAAAGTATAAGTAGTTCTTATATATCTAATACTTTTATTTTAGTTATATTAGTAGCCTAGGTAGTGTCCTCTTTAGAGTAGTATAAAATTAAGGCTAAGTAGCTACCTATAATAAAGCCTATATAACTACCTCTAGTTACTATTACCTAGTAAAGGCTTATAATAGTAGTATTACTACTATATATCTAGAGAGGTACTATATAGCTATAGTTATATAAGTAATAGGTTAAGTATATCTTCTTATACCCTAGGGTAGATTTTAGTATAAAATTTATTATTATTTAATAAAGAAATAAACTTTTAAAACTTCTTTATTAGCTATAAGATAATATATATTTATTTATTATAGTGTAGTACTATATAGCCCTTAACCTTATAGTACTAGAGAGAGTACCTAGGGGTCTTTAGGTTTTTATAGCTATAGTGCTTTTTTACCTCTTTATATCTAAATCTATTATAATATTTTATAAAGTCTCTATATCTTAACTAGGCTATAATTAACTAGTAAAGTTCTATTTTACTAAAGGTAGTAATCTTAGGTATAGGTTAAAGGCTAGCGTTAAGGTTAAGTAGCTTATAGCTATAAAGATAATTATACTACTACTATATATTAAAAGCCCTCTTTTAGTATTATTAGATATCCTATTTAATATAGCTATATATTAGAAGTTATATTTAAAGATCTATAGGGTGTATTATTATACTCTTTTTTACTAGGCTATTTACTAGCTTATTACTACTAATTTTTATATAACTAGAGACCTAGTAAATATCTACTTTCTTGTTATAGTTCTTAGTAATATATATAAAGTCTAAGATTACCTCTTATAATAACTTTATTAAGGCTTTATCTAGGCTATATATTACTACTAAGTTACTAAGGTATACTATTATCTTATCTATACCCTTATTATATTATAGTGCCTATTAGAGCCTAGCTTTAGCCTCTTTTACCTCTATATTAAAGACTTTTCCTTATAGAAGTCTTTATTAACCTTAGTAGACTAGTTCTTTACCCCTAAAGACAGTATATCTATACCTTATTACCTCTTAGTCCTCTTATAACCTATCTATATACACTATTATATATATAAGGCCTAGTGTCTATATTTACTTTTTATAGTTATTAGTAGCTTTATTCTTACTTTATCTAGTAGCCTAGTATATTAAGATATATTAATAAGTCCTATATTATAATAGTAGTTAAGGGAATTTAGGTATTAAATTAGCTATCTTAATAAGAATTATAGGTAAAACTTTATTTTCTTTTTAGTTATTATAAAGAAAAGTCCTTATCTATTAGACTAATAGGTAGCTATTATTAAGAGTGCCTAGGTGTAGTCTATATTAGTCTTAGGTAGTATTAAGTAGTAGCTAGACTAGTAAAGTACTTAATTCTCTTAGAAGGATTAGTGTTAAAGTTGTCTACTAAATAGGGAGATAGCCCCTAATTACTTAGTTAACTACTATTTATATTTTATAAATATAGTTTAATAGCCTATATTTAATATATTATAAGTAGTCTAGAGTATATTTTCTACCTTATCTATTTAGGCCTAGGTACTAGACCTCTAAGGTATATAGTACTTATAAGATAATAATAGTGTAAAAAGCTCTCTTTATACTAAGTAAAAGGGCTTCCCTATATACTTTATTTAGCCCCTTTATATATTCTATTATAGACCTTACTATTACTATATATTCCTTAATATATTATCTTAGGCTTATTTTTTTATTTAAGTAGACACTAAGCTATTATATTATAAGTTTTAGTACTATTACTTTAGCTTTATATTATATAGTAAGGTTATTAGTCTTTTATTTTTATAAAAAGTAAAGTACCTTTATTTTTATCTTATTAAAGAGAATACTATTTATTTTCCCCTAGGAGGTTATTTTATCTAGGATAGCTTATACTTAGTCTTAGCTTTCCTCTTCTGTTTACCTAATATATAAGATACTATAGTTATCTATATAGCTAAACCTTACTTTTCTTAGACTAAATTAGTATAGTAGCTTAATATAGTATAAGTAAAGAATTAGTAATACTAGTAAGCCTTATAGTAGCCTATAGTAGAGTAGTTTTATTAAGAAGATATAGTCTTTAAAGTGTATATACACTTTATACTTTATTATAAAAGACAAGGCCTAGTTTACTATATTAATAGGCTAGCCTTACTCCTAGAGTACTTATACTAAGTGTCTACTATTAACTATATTAAATACTCTCTAGATATCTATAGTAACTAGGGTATAGTAGAATCTATTATTAAAAGCTACTTTTATATTCTATATAAGTAATACTACTATATTTATAGCTAATCTTTTTAGGAGGGCCCTAGCTACCTAAGGGTAAAAGACCTTATAGTCTAGGCACTTATACACTATTCTTTATACTATTAACCTTTTTAGCCTTTTCTTAATAGGTAAGAGGAGTAAAATTAGTCTTTACCTCTTAGAGGTACTTATATCTTTATTTAGCTTAGGTATTATTATTATTTTTACTTTCTAAAAAAGAAGAAAGTAGTAGCCTTTCTCTAGGTAGTTCTAGAATAAGGTCTATATATACTCTTCTATATATAGCTAGGCTACTTATAGTATAGTAATAGTAATATTATTTACCCCTAGTGTTATATTATTAGCCTTAAGTAGTACTCTTCTAGCTTTATCTATTATAATATAGTTATCTTATTTTATTATCTATTATAGTACTATAGGTATATATAGGTTAATGTCTATACTAGTATTAAACTACTCTAGTAGTTAGTTTCTTAGAATCCTAGCCTTCTTAGCTAGTGTAGTAACTATGTCTTTATTATTCTATAAAGAAGGTAACCTAAACTAGGTGCTAGGCTTATACTAGCCTATAACCTTATATAGGTCCTTATTTATCTTTATTTTATTAATCTAATTTATCTAGTATTTTACTTTTGCCTTATAGACTATATATTATAGCTCTTTTACTATATCTTTTATCTTATTATTATTATCTCTTTTTTTAGTATTATAGTATATTTTTCTAGCTATAGTATAGTTATTATTCTACTATATAACTAATTTCTCTTTAATTTATTTTATTTTTACTATTACTATAGTGTTTTATAAGACCTTTATTAGTATAGCTATTACTTAGTCTAGGTCTACTATTGTCTTTATTATATCTAAGAGAAGCTAAAGTGTTTACTTTATCTCCTTAGTGTATTTACTAATCTTCTTTATTATATTAATAGTAACCTTAGTTTTATCCTTTAGTATTAGTCCTATAGAAGTTATAATAGAGGTAAATAAAGTAAAGTAGTCTAAGCCTATATATAAGTGTTTTATAATTATAGTTAACATAAGGAGAATATTTATAAAGACTAAGTCTAGTGTACTCTTTTTATTATATATTAGGACCCCTAGTAAACTAGTAAAGGCTAGCTAGTTATTATTTATTTAGCTAGCTAGTTACTTAGCTTCCTAGTTTAAGGAAACCTTAGGTTACTATATTAGATATTATATATTAAAGTCCTCTATAATAAGGGTGTTCTCTAGAGGGGTCTAGGCCTCTAAGGTATTTAATACTGTTTATATTTATAGTTCTCTATATATATTAATAAAGCATTAGCTATATACTATTATACCTAGTATATTATATAGTAGGTTTATTATAATATTAAAGGTAATAGTATTATTATAGATTCTCTAGATATATATAAGTACTTAAGGTCTTATTTCTATATTCTACTATTCTATAACAAAGGAAAAAAGTAAGTAATTTAGTATAGTTTTTATCTTTAAGTATTTATTTAGAGAGCACTATAGCTCCTAGATTATAATAATATTAGCCTACTTATAGTCTATAAAGGTAAAGGCAATATTATATATTAGCCTTAAACGTCTTATATTAATATAAAGTATTTTAAGTTATACTATTATTAGATAAAGGGAAAAAATAGTAGCACTAATATACTTAGTTCTAGGTTATTTAGTATAATACCTCTCTCTAAGATATCCTCTATTTCTTTATTAATCTATTAGAAGATATTAAGTTTATTATTATATATATCCTTAGTGGCCTATTATTAGGTAGCCTCTAGTCCTAGGCTCTTGTTAGCCCTCTTATCTACTAGTTAGGATACCTTAGTTAATATTTATTATTACTATTTTATCTTATAAAGCTTTTATCCCTTCTGCTTAATAGCTTATTTTTAGCTTTTTAAGGGCCTAGTAATAGTTATTTTCTTTTTTATTAATTATAGTAGGTAATTATAAGTACTCTTAAAGGGGCTTTTATAGTTAGTACACTATTATAGTTATTTATAAGGTCTATTTTTATAGTTAGTTTTTAGTATACTATAGTTCTTATAAAGTTATAGTTTAATATATAGTCTTACTTTATACTAGTTAAAGTAAACAATATATTATACTAGCCTAAATTTATCCTATAATAGCTATAAGATAAGGCTATTAAATAATTAAAAAGGTCTAGCCTTCTTCCCTAGGGCTATAATCTATATCTTATTATTTTAGCTTATAGTGTTCCTTATTATATAGTATTTCTCTAGTTTCTATTTTATTATTATATAGATCTTAGTGTAAATTATTTCTTTTATTATTTTAATTATATTCTCCTAATAGTTAAATATCTATAATAAGACCTCTTTAATTCTATAGAATAACTAGGCCTTAGTACTATTAATAGTAGTTATACTAAGCTATTTAAATAACTTAGTATAGCTATTAAGTATAGTCTATTTTATTTTATAGTAGTCTATAGTAACTATAAAACTAGTTAGTATTCTAGTTATCTTTTTAATATCTATAATTTATATCTTATAGATTTAAGTAATATTCTTATAAATAGTAGAGGAGAAGACCTAGTAGTAAGTGTTAAGTATTTTAATAAAGATATAGTAGTTAATATAGTATTATTAAGTTTATCCTTATATATTTCTTTTACCCTAAGGAGGTCCTTAATAGTTAGGTTTCTTTAGGCTAGCTATAGTCTAGCTATACTACTAGGGCTATCTAGTTAGTTTTATTAGCTAGTAGAAGTGTTTTATAGCTATAGGCTACTAGACTAGTATATTAGCCTTAGTTATCTTATTACCTTTAAGTATAAAGTATAGTAGCTAAGTATAGAAGTTAATAGCCTCTTAGTAATCTCTTTTACTTTATATTTATTATAAGGACTACTAGAGGTTTTTAATAAGTATATTTAAGATATATCTATAGTTATTATTAAGGGCTATAATCTTGTTTAGTTTATCCTTAGAGAGGGTTTAATAGGTCTATTACTAAGGTTCTTATAGTGTCTAACTTATATATATTATTATTAGTCTATATATTAATATACTAAGGCTAAGTTACTAGTTAAGGTCTACTATAATTCTTATAAAGTCTTCTTAGGTTAAGGTAATAAGTAGTAAGCTAAAGGGCTTATCTATAATCCTTTTATACTTTATAAGTAAACTATCCTATATAGTTATTCTTAATACTAATAATATTACTTATAATAAGGGCTAGGCACTAGGCCAAGGTAGCGGCCAAGGGGTTACTAGCCCTTGGCAAAGGAGGGCTAACATAAGCTTTTGTTGGGGTAATTGGTGTTGTTAAGGATTTTGGTGATGTGCATGCGTACGCACTAACAGTGCGTGCCAAGAAAAGTATGTAAGAGGGAAGGTTAACTGTTTTGTAAGCACACAGCCAATAGCCCTTGCTAAAGTACTAACATAAAATGCAGGGCAAGCCGCCTGGGCTGAGGCGCGAACCTCAATCCCAGCTTCCTAGTTGGGCTAGTTACCACCTATGGACTGGGTCCTCGTTGTGCAAGGGGTGCAGGGATGTGGTGCCCACCCCCTCCCTGGTAGATCCCGCTATGCAGTTGGTTCAGTGTTGCGACATTTACTGCAACTTTGGAGTTACTGAACAAACTTCACAATGAATAAGACAACAAGCTTGCGTAGAGAAACTATCTGAAATCTATTTATACAAACAAGCCCACGGGTCGTCAATGCCACACTTTCTGAGCTCGGGGCCTTTACCAAAGTCTTTGAAAGGGCCTGGGACGTGGTGCTGAGCAGCCCACTCCTGAATCTAACAATAAACAGCGGGTCAGTCATGAGTCCCCCTGAATCGGCGGCTGCACTCACCCTGCTGAAATTACGACACTCGTGCACAACAGTAGAGCGAGCCCTAACATCACCATATTCTAGACTGTATTGGAAAACGTTTGGTACAACATCTCCCGTGCACTGAATTGACTGCCTGAGTGAGTCTATGCAATGGTCTAGGTGCGTAATACTTAAGTGATCGCCCCCGCGATCTTCAAGCGCCGCTTCAGGTGATGGGTATAAGAGGTATGGGTTATGTGTGGTGTTCCATTGCGGTTCGAGGAAGTAGTAGAGCCCCTTCCGAATGTTATCCATGCAATGTAGATCGTGGAAGACATTGAGGACGACTAGGTATCCGCTCCCCTCAGACTCAAGTTCGGGTGCAGTCTTATTTGGTAGCATTCGTGCCTCTTCTTCCGTGATGTGCGTGAACATGTCTGTTCAGAAAGACTTGTCAGCTCGGCCTTCTAAGAGCATCGAAAATGGCATTTTTCTCACTTTCGTACAAACTCTGCCAAGCCTGATTGGTTTTCATCGAAGGCCTTCCCTGGAAATCGCTTTCGCCTCCTTCTACCGAGCTCGCAAATTTGGTCAATTGATACTCAATAGCATCATTAGCAGGAGCTACAAGATATTAGATACACTTAGAAGAGTCTCTCGGCGTGAATCCACTTACAATAGAGGGCAAACGAACTCTTGGCTGAGCTCAATTGATTCCAAGTTGCCCGCCTTGGTTGCTCACTTCTGTAGAACAAATGGCCGAGCAGTCCGAGATTCAGCATTACCGACAAGCCGAAAGCAAATACGACAGTCCAGAAACACTTGTGCTGACATGACTTCCGAGCATGTTCCACATTCTCATCCTTATACCCAGACAACGAAGACGAAAGTAGACTCTCCTCAGAAGGAGAGCCGTTGATTTCGTCGAATTCACCCATACTGAGGTGGGTTTTCAATGGGAAACGATGTGCTTGGGTCGCCATCAGCTACCATGGAAAACAGTCAAGGTAGCAGTCTATTCTCTAAACGTTGAGAGCAACTAGGAGACACTTTAAGTTCCCGTTATCCGAACGAACATCTGACTGTGCCTTGATTGGAGAATATTTCCCTCAATATGGCGCAATCCAAAGGCAACCACCAACAAGCAGTTGGCGAAAACTCCCTTTGCATTTTCGGTGGTTATAGTGCAGATCTACCCTTGTTAATGGACCCATTTTCGGACCGACTTCATCACGGAAAACCGGCAAATACGTCTTACTCGATGTGGATACCCCATCAGCGTGCCGGAAGCAGATAGGTGCGAGGAGGCAGCGGGCGGTTGGTCCCTGAGCTTCAAAAGTCGTTCATTTTTCAACCAACGGGAGGTGGGGTAGGTGGGGGGGGTATGGGCACAGAGACAAGCTGCGGAGATGAGTCCAGAACTTCTGCACTGCTAAGGTCTTATACAGTCTGTTGCATTAGCAGCGTCCAAAACCTACTTTTTAGTCTATACGTTAGCAACACTATTATAATAACTACCCTAGTTAGGGTTACACAGGGGGGTTACCCTACTAAGTAGCTATATACTTTTAAATTATTTTATATTATATAAATACTATAGTATAAATAGCTTTAATTAATAAGCTTATTACTATTACTATTTAATAATAGTACTAAAGAAGAAGGAGGATATTACTTTTAGTAGTATAAAGGTATTACTAGTACTACTAGCTAATAGTACTTAAGACTATAAGGCTACCTATAAAAGATTATTATTATATATAGTTATTAAGTGTCTTATAGTAGTAGTAATAAGGTTAATAATAGTTATTAAGATACTATAAAAGCTAGTAATTACTATAGTAGTAGTAAAAAAATTAATAATAACCTTTAAGATACTAAGGAAGTTAGTAAAAGTAACTATTAATAAAGAAGAGGTTAATAATAATAATAATAATAATAATAATAATAATAATAATAATAATAATAATAATAATAATAATAATAATAATAATAATAATAATAATAATAATAATAATAATAATAATAATAATAGTAATAGTAGTAAGCTTACTAATAATAATAAAGAGCCTATATAATAAGTACTTTTTATTTTTAACTTCTTTAAAATACTATTATAAACTTTATTACTATTATAGTAGTAATAAAGGGTAACTACTACTATAGCTACTTTTTTACTACTACTATTACTAACTAAGGTAATAATCTATTTTACTTTTAGCCTCTAGTTTAATAGTATTATAGTACTATAAGTTTAGCCTTTTTAAATAGTATAGTAGTTAATAAGTTAAGTATTAGTAAGTATAATAATTAAGTTAAAGTAAAAAAAGTAAATCTTAAAAAAGATAAAAATACGCCTTTAAAAGTAACTTAGTAAGTAATACTTACTATTAAAGTTATAGATAACTATTAAGTTTAATAAAAAAAAAAAACTATAAAAGTAAAAAATAATACTTACTATAGTAATAACTTTAGTAAAGTAAGTAGTAAATAGTTAGCCTTACTATAGGCTAAACTTAGCTTTTAACTAAGTAACCTAGGCTACTAGACTTAAGATATCTTCTTTAGTATAAAGCTTATATACTTTACTAGTTTATTTATATTAGTATTTAGTATACTATAATTAGTTATAAAGTTAATAAGTAAATAACCTAACTATAGTAAGTACTCTAACTATAGTAAGTACTTTAACTATAGTAAGTATTCTAACTATAGTAAGTAACTTAACTATAGTAAGTAACTTAACTATAATAGCTAGCTATTATATATAAAATTAATAAAAAAAATAGTAATAAGTTTAATAAGAAATAAAATTAACTAAGAGAAGAATATAAAAAAGGACCTATAGTAAGATTTAATAAAGTATTATTAGTATATAGATTAAGTAAGTTACTATAATAGTAATAAGGTAAGTAATAATACTAACTAGTATTTAATTATTAATAAAGTCTACTATAAGTTACTTACTAGTAACCTTAAAGGTTAATAAAATATAATACTTTACTATAAAGTAACTTTAAAAACCTTATTACTAGGCCTAGTAGTTATAGTTACTTAGTAATAAGTAAAAAACAAGATGCCTATATAAGGTAAAATTATAAGTAATTTACCCTCTATAGTAGTAGTTAAAGAAGGTAAAAATCCTACTAGTAGACCTTTACTGCCTACTATAAATAACTTTATTAGTAATATAGTAGTTAATTTATCCTTTAGTAGTAAAAAAGTTAACTTATATACCTAGTAGTAATATTAACTACCTTTTTACTAGTAGTTATCTTTAATTTAACCTTATTATTATTTACTTATTACTTTATTAGTTACTTTATTACTAGTACTATAAACTCCTTATATAGTAAAAGAGGTTAAAGTACTATTATTATTACCCCTATAACCTAGAGAGTAGTTACCTATAGTATAGTTACTAAAGTTAAGAGATTTTACTAGCTAGTTTCTTAAAGTTAAAAGGTAATAATAAGGCTATAAGGGTAATACTAATATAGCTCTTTAGTAATTATAAAGCTTATTATTAAGTCTAGTAGTTATTTAGTATATTTTAAAAGAGTAGTATAAAGAGAAAAGTATACTTATATCTTTTGTTAACACTATATAGAGGTTAATTAAGACTTTTTTATTTACTTAATAGTATTATAAGTATAGTAAATATAACTTTACTAGCTTTAACTAAAGGTATAAATTACTATATATTACTAATAAAGTTAATAAAGTTAATAATATTAATAAGCTCCCTTTTATAAATATTATAACTAATAAGGTAATAGGTAACCTTAAGAAAAGGAGATTTAGTTAGTTAAATTAAATCTAGTAGTTATAACTATACTAACCTCTGTGTAGTAAATACTCTCTTTATATCTTTACCTCTATAGTTAGACTATTTATTATTACTTATTATCTATATAAGTTAATATCTTTTTAACTTTATAATATATAATAAGCTTAATAATAATAACTTTAGTCTTAATAAGTTATATAGTAATAAAGCTAGTAACCTAATATAAGTAGTTAATAATAGGTTATTAATAGATTTATATAAAAGTAGTAAAAAGTAATATAATAAGGCTAATAGTAAAAGTAAATAAGTAGTTACTATAGTTAGATTTCTTTACTATTTATTAATAGTTATTTTTTTTCTTTATTACTACTTTAATAATAGTACTTTCTTTACTAGTTATAGTAGTAACTTTAACCTTACTATTATTATTAAATTCTTTTTTATTAATTAATATATTATTAAATAACCCTTATATACTATTAAAGTTAATAAATAAGTAATAAAAATACCCTTTTATTTACTTTATCCCCTAATTAACCTCTACTATATAGTTATAAGGTAGCTCTTTAAATTCTTATAAATCCCCCTTATCTCTGTTCTATACTAGGTACTACGTATAAAGAAGCTTTTTAAGGTTACTAAATACCTCCTTAATAAGGTTAAAGTTAAGTAAATATAGTAGTAGATATAATAGTTATATACTAACTAAATTATATACCTCTTAAATATCTTATTAGTAATAAAAGCTAGTGTTATCTATAATAATAACTAACTTTACTATAAAAAAGTCACTATACTTAGGTAAAACCCTCTTTTTTATTTACACTATAAACTTATTACTATTTATTAAGCCTTACCTTAATATACCCTCTAACTAGCACTAAAACCTTAACTAGTACTACTATATACCTAAGACACCTTACTAAGCATAAATATATACTATAGACAGTTACTAGACAGATAGTATTATAAATAACTACTTTAGCTACTACTAATAATAGCTACTACTATAGCCTACTACTACTATAGATAGCTACTACTATAGACTACTACTACTATAAATAGCTACTACTACTATAGACTACTACTACTATAGATAACTACTACTACTATAAACTACTACTATAGACTACTACTACTATAGAATACTACTACTATAGATAGCTATTACTCTTATAGACTACTACTACTATAGATAGCTACTACTACTATAAATTACTACTATAGACTACTACTACTATAGACTATTACTACTATAGACTACTATTACTATAGACTACTACTATTATAAATAGCTACTACTACTATAGACTACTACTACTATAGACTACTACTACTATAAAATACTACTACTATAAATAACTACTATTTTTATAGACTACTACTACTATAAATAGCTATTACTACTATAAACTATTACTATAGACTACTACTACTATAGACTACTACTACTATAGACTACTACTACTACAGACTACTACTACTATAGATAGCTATTACTATTATAAACTATTACTATAGACTACTACTACTATAGACTACTACTACTATAGACTACTACTACTATAGACTACTACTACTATAGATAGCTACTATTACTATAGACTACTACTACTATAGACTACTACTACTATAGATAGCTACTACTACTATAGACTACTACTACTATAGACTACTACTACTATAAATAGCTACTACTACTATAAATAACTACTATAGACTACTACTACTATAGACTACTACTACTATAGAATACTATTACTATAGATAGCTACTACTTTTATAGACTACTACTACTATAAATAGCTATTACTAATTATAACTACTTTTAATACTTATAATAAAATAGCTATAAAAGTAAAACTTTATATTCTAAGTATACTAGCTTTTTTACTTTAAAAAAGTCTTATTAGTATTAAAACCTTAAAGCTAATTACCTAAAAAGGTTATTTACTAAGAAGTAAAATAAGACTTAATCTACTAAAGGTTTTCTAGAAAGACTTATTTCTTAGATAAAATATAAGCCTTACTAGTCTTCTTTACTATACACTAGGTCTTTATATTACTATTAAGTACTATATAGTAGTACTTTTAACGTTTTTTAGTCTTAACCTTAGTATTACTTTTAGTATCTTTATCTTTATTTTTACCTTAAACTTTATTATAGTTACCTTACTATTCCTTTAATTCTTTTAAACTTTACTTCTTAGTATAAACTAATAAGTCTAAAAACTCCCTTAAAGTAGTAGTAAAATACTAAACACTAATAACTAAAGAGTAGGTTTTTAAGGCTACTAGTAAAATATTTTATTACTTCT